CAGCAATCTCAAAGATAACTTGTGTTTTCTCTCCTGACAAGTCCATCAATATCTTAAGAGCCTATCTAGGGTCTTTACCCTCATTTCCCTAACCAGGGCTTCTGTTTTTGTGGGGGTGGGTTTAATGAAAGTACCACTTGGACCTATGTCAACATGCTCTCTTCTACACTCCATGAAACTGGTTTTCTGATAGTGAGACCCTGGGATGAGTTCTCAGGGTTACTTTATCAGGGCAGCTGACCTCATGAGGTCTCATCTAGCCTGACTTCTTATAATCCTATATCAATAAGAAGGATAGGCGAGATTTGAAGTCCTTACAGTAGATCTGCCTTCTGTTGCATTGTGCCCTGATAAACCCTGAGGACTCTTTCTAGGTTTTTGCCTAAACTTGTCACAGATTTTTTATTTAGGGTACCAGATGAATTTGCCAAAGTTCTTCCTAAAGCCTCATTCATGTGGGGAGGGTTTGCATTTGCTGAACATTAAAAAGTCATTTTTTTTATTTCCTTCATTGAAAAAAAGATATTCAGAAAGTCTTCGTTGCTCTTTGTATTAGTATCTGAAGGTGCAGCAATAGCAGCCCAGAGGTTGTCCAGCTGGATCTTGGACTGTATAAAACTACTATAAGATTGCTAACATCCATCTGCTATCCGTGATAAGGGCACATTCCACCAGAGTTCAGGGTACTTGAACAACATCACGTTGTGATATTCCTATAAGTTATGCCATTGAGGAAGCCCCCAGAGAAGATGCCGTGCTTAGCAGAGTGATTGATAGTAGTAATTGTTCTTCACCTAAATGTAATCTGAGAACCATGACTAGTCCTGTGGGCACTGCTTTTGAGTCGCCCACTCAGAATATGTGAATAGTAGTTACACAAAGTTACTTATCAGTAATTTAAGTTGAAAATATATGGTCCTCATGCATATTCAGATCCCTCCCTTCTTCCCCTCCACTGCAGATTCAACACAATATAGGTTTCTGAAGTTGAAAGGAGACTGAAGAGCTGAAAGTGTGTGCCCTGTACTCCCTCTGTATAGGACACTAGGAGAGAAATGGCTAGAGTACATTCTCTGGATACTAAACAAAAAGTTGCAGATGTGTTTCTCATTCTAAACTCCAGCCAATTAGTGAGAATATATACGGACAAAACAACTCAAAAAACTTCAGTTTGGCTAGGTACAGATGCTCAGGGAGCTTAGGCAATATATCACATTTAAAAATAGCCACACAATCTAGCTTATTTGGCCCATGTGAAGATCTTACACTTAAATCCCTAGTTAGGTTGTGTAAATTGTGTGTAAGTGTAAATTGTACAAAAGTTCAGGAAGTTTAGATTGGTCTAAAAATGTCTGACCCCATCTAATTTAACCCTAACTCAGAGGTAATCTAATTTAGTTTGGGTCTGGCAAGACTGATTTGATTGAACTTCTTCTGCACAGCTCCTAGTACAGCCCTGGGGTGTGCTTTTCCTGCCCCCTGACCTTTCACAGAGCATTGGAGGGTCTCTATGTGTCCCCCACCCCCAGCTCCCTGTGGACCTGTAAGCCCCCCGATCCTGCCAGATCCTCCCAAACCTCACCAATCATCCCACGGACCCCTCTTGTTCCCCCAATCGCCCCAACCCCCCACAGACTCTACCAGTCCCCCCTGATTCCCCTAAGTGCCTCTGTGGACCCTAATTATTCCTCCAATCCCCACAAGCTATCCTGCTGATCCCAATTTGCCTTGGATTGGGTGCCCATTTTTAACTTGATCTAACCTCCCCCAAGGTCTGTACATACCCTTGGTGTTAAGTAACTTTGTGTTGGAACCATCCCAACAAACCACTTTGTGTTGGAATGTATTCTGGGCATTCTAAGGCCATTTGTGCTCTTTGGGATTAATCTAAATTAGAGTTCAATTTGGTTATTAGGTCACAAAAATCATTTTTGGCATCCCAATTATAAATAATTTTTGAGGGGTTAATTTACCTTAAAACGGCAGGTTTTACAGGATGCAGTTTTTAATTGGGAAGCAAATGGAGCAATGTTATTTCTCTTTATAAAGAAATGTAATAACTGTCAACATTTTGCTTTTCATCCATGTTTTATTTTCAACTAACAGTAAGAAAGAAAAGTCACTTAGTTCTCCATTATGACTTTAAAACAGGACAAAATTGATTTGCTGAAAACTGTTTTGTTGAGAAATACTTCAGAATGATCTAGGACTTACCTTAGTATGGAGGCAACTGAAGCTATTTTTGAGGCTTAAAAGTCTGAATGTAGAAACCGTAACAAAAAAAAAATTGATAAAAGATCATTGTGTCTCAGTATTATATTAGCCACGTATCAAAAGCACCAAACTAAAGGGTTATGATTTTTTTTTCATAATCACTAAAGCTCTAAATCATTCTGTATAAGTAAAGTATGCAAAAAAAAAAATAAAAAAATCCTGTTATGTAGTCTGCCCAGAGAAATGAAACAGGAATTCAGTTGCATACTTTTTCTTATTTGGACTGAAACAATTGTTTCTATTTTTTTTAAGGTTTTGTTTGTGGACAGTTATATAACCCTGTATATTTCCTTTATCTGCTACACTACCAGTAGAGTTTTGTGCATGGCCTCCTTACTTAAACTGAACAAAATATGAATGTAGATTGGGGAACAATGTAATAAAAATATCTGCCCATCTCTTCTCACCCTGTCTCATAAAAAAAAAAAAATGTGGGTTCCAAAATCAATGAAGGATGAAAATTCCATAATGATGATTTACCCTTTTTTTATAGCTTTTTTAGTAGGCTTCTTATGTGTGATTTTGCTGTGTTTCCAGATGTGTTGAGGCTTCTGGGTTTAAAGCCAAACCATTTTGGAAATAGTGTTAGTGCATCACTGAAACTGAATACGTGTAGTTATGGGTTAATGAAACTGGAGTAAAACACAAAAAGTTATTTCAATGGGAAAATGGATAGCTTCAGGGTTGTGGAAGGTATTTGTGATTTCCCACAGTACTCTGAGATTTGGGGTGAGTCCTGAGGTCAAAGTGTCTGCAAGTACAGTGAAGTCTACCTATATTGGGTCTCAACTACCCAGATATTGAGACAAGCCAAAGTCATACTTTACAGTTACTTGATGGCTTGAACTGTCATGTAAACAAATATAGATGATGATTTTTTTTCCTTAAACTAGTTACATTTGTGAAATTTTCCTCCACCTTTAACAACCACACTTTTAACTATGTAGGTCTTCATCCCCATCACTCCTTCTGATGGTATGATCCATTCGGCATTTATTTATGCTGTCTGCAGTATTTTTTTCTTCTTATTTATGTGACTTGATCATCTTAGTCACTTTTATCCACCTCAAGTGGGCGGTCTTTTAGTATGTTTAATCCAGAGGTTTGGTTGAAATTCATATTGTCTCAGAAGTTTTGGAAAAGCAATTGATAATTGCATAATAGCTAATGCAAGTAAATCAGTCTGAAATATTATTTTTTCACTATGCTCTTGACACACAATTTACTATTTACAACCATTTTTCTCTAAAATACTTTTTATTTATTCCTAAAAATGTTTTGGTAATTTCCACTGCATTTTCACATGGCACTTCTGTTTGAAATAATAAAACAGTAATTTCTTCCATGCCAAACATGGCTCACAGAATGTGTATGAAATTATTTATTTTTAAAAATGGGTCTATTTTGTTTCTTTGTAATATTGTGCCTAGGTCAAAAAGCTAGTTTGGTAAAAGGCAATGTTAAACAAGACTGAACGTAGTCTTTGATTACATAATGCATTTTAACAGATTGATCACAATAAGGCGCATCAACTCTGAAGAATTTTAAAAAAATATTTGTAAATATTTAAAATTAGGACATAGATAATCATTTAAATCAAATTAGTACTGTCATTATTATTATTATTATTATTATTATTATTATTATTATTATTATTAGAATCAATGAAGCTGCAGCTTGCCACCACAAACCAAATGGCAAACTGGGTGGTGGATCAATTTATGAAAGGTAACAAATAGTTCCAACTCAATTCCATTTGTTCTACCTAATACAGTGATCAAAAGAAGTAAGGCCTGAGTATTCACATTCCTCAGACCTACATTGATTGATTAATAATTCACAACATCTCCAGAAATAGCATCCTTTGTACTCTTCCTGCAGTCATTGTTCCTGTTTGCTACCGTTTTTTAAAAACAGTTTGTTGATGGTTGTCTACATGAAGATCACCAGGACAGTTAAGGAGAACGAAATGAAGTGTGAAGTCAATATATATACATTGAAAATGTAGCTGCAGCTAGTGATCTAGAGCTACTTTATTCATGAATTATATCTTCCACATGGAGGATTAATATGCTTTACTTTAGGCATGTTGTCTTCACACTGTTGATTGATTTGCCTTAAATTTCCACGGATCTTGCATTATAAATGGCTTTGGGGAGTTTGATTATGAGGTCTACAAGGCCTCATAGCCTTAAAAATCTCTTGAATTTCTTGTTGTTTCATGTGTGATTTTTGTAAATTACAATAATTTTAAATTAACATCAATTTTACAGATCATTGGTAAAATTTTATAAGAATCTGTTTTCCTTGTCAATTTGAAGTTGAAGATTTTTACAAAGCCCAGGTTCAAACATCACTGAACATGCTGCATTCTGTCTAGCTCTGTTGAAGGAATTGGAAGAAACTTGTGATTTGCTACAGCTGCTGCATTAATAACAAATATCTTAAAATAAAGAAGATATGAATAGGAAAATCAGTGGAAAAAAGTGCTCTATTTAAATAGACTACAACGTTTTTAGTAGTTGTAGTAGTAGTATTGCCATGGTAGTATCATCATGGTAGTATCTAGGCACCCTTGTCTGAAATCATGGGCTTGTTATCCTAGGTGGTGAGACAACTGATTTTTTTTATTGTACATTTACTAGAAGGCTGAGACAACTGAGTTTTTTTTACTGTACATTTACTAGAGAACTTTTAAAAAAATATTTTTCTGTAATTGTTTTTAGCTTTGGATCCAGCAAAAGATCCATGCTTAAAGATGAAATGTAGCCGACATAAGGTATGCGTTGCTCAAGATCAGCAGAGTGCTGTTTGCATTAGTCACCGGAGACTTACACACAGGTAAAAGTTTAAAGTTAATGTTGTTGATAGTTTACTGCTTTACTAGTAAGGACTGTAGATGTTATTAATATAGTAGCTCAACTCTACTGTAATGTAGTCTTTGGTGAGATTGTTTTTTTAAAAATAATTTGGCCAAATAAATTATTATGTTTTTTTCCATATTTATTGCATAGTATGTTATAGGATTTATTTATGCAAACTTGAATAACTTTCATTGTGACACTTATTCAGATAAATATTTTCTACACTCATCCTAATTAAGAAAAAGGATCAGGGCAATAACTGCCCCTTGCTATTATGTGATTCATTGACCTTACTTGGTAGTTTAAGAGTTTAAATCTCTTTAAAATACATAAAATTCTTATCTGTTAAACTACTTCTCATGTCTTTGTCTAGCTGCTAATAAATAAAGTAGGCCCCATATTTCTATGGTATGTCTTTTCTGCCAAAGTTCTCAACTGAGTTTGGTTTTCATTGAATGTAGTGCCATTTTACATTCCATACCAGTTACATATAAGCAAATATGAGGTACAGTGTGCATAGGGTTAGAACAGATAATTTTCCCTCTTAAAATAGTCGTGGAACAGAGTTTCATAGATAAAATATTTAATACCTTTTGTAAACATTGCAAACTTCTCTTTTAAAATAGTGCTTTGTTTGGGAAAGAACGTAAGCATTTCAATGGGTCATAACAATATGTTTAAAACTAAACATGCCCTTAAATCAGTGGTCTCCAACCTTTCTGTGGTGAAGATCACGGTTTGTAAGTAAAGGGCACCCCAGGATCTACTTCTCCTCTCCACCCCCTGCTCCACCCCGCAGACTGACATCAACTGTTGGAGGCTCCATGATCGACCAGTCAGTCTTGATCGACTGGTTGGTGACCACTGCCTCAAGTACTTTGAGATGGGCCCTAACAACGACTAACCGTTAGCATAATAATGTTTTTTCTTGGTTAGTAGAAACTATATTTAAAAAGGCAGATAATAAATACCATTTAAAATTTGTTCTAGGGAATGTTTTCCGTTTCCTAATATCTAGTTTTGTTTAAATATACCCGTTTGTAGCTGTTCAAGCAAGCAAGTTAGTATTTTCATACTAGCAATGTAAAATGCAATGTTTTAAAGCTTTCTTAGCTAGGCAGCTGCAGTCAATTAGCAAAAACTATTTGTAGAGCTTTGCTGTTGACATCCAACAATGATGATGTAAAATTAGAGATTTTGGTATGATCAGGCATTATATAAGTTGAAAGAATTATTGTTAAACAAATCTAGCTATGCTCATTTCAGTGTATGTAAACCATAGGGAAAATATGTCAGTGTCAAATGCAAAAGAACATCATAATTATGGAAATACAATTATAAGTCTGAAAGAGTATTGCCCATAAGAGGAAAAAATAATGAAAAATGGGCTTGCTTTATATTTCAGAGTTAGCTTTCTATACAGTAGTGAGGTGCTGATGAGACTTCTAGACCAACTGACATTTTCTAAGCTATTTGTATATTTATAATATTACATTAATATCATGGACATTCCATAACAGTTCACTTTCCCTGCTGTCCCTGGTATTGTACCTGAAGGTGACTCTGTCTGATACTTTATTTGAATATCCTACAAACTTGTGGTGTGAATTATCAATAGGAGAAACTTGTTTATTTAGCACTAATAATGAAAAACTTTCTAGATTATTTAAAACTATGCCAAATTGTCTCCTATATCTGTGCCCTAAGGTCATTCTTAGAATTAGATCACTGCCCCTAGCTCCCAGAAGAATAGCTTGGCTGTCTTCATTGCTTTGTGCTTTCTTCCTGAAGAGGTTCTCCTGATGTAATCTGTTAGGTTGGATTGGAGGAGAAATTGTTCTTTCTCTATCTCAATAGAAATTAGGTAAGAAAAATAATACAGTGTCAGGCTATATTATCTATAGATTTATATTAGTATTACTTCAGAAGGATACTGTGTGTGAAGGGTAATCTAAATATTTGCTTTTAATAACATTTCATCCACAAGTTTTCCATCACTTTTCCATTTTTTATTACTGGTCTGGATGAGTGTTTGATCTGGGCTGCTGGTTTGACTCATAGATTCATAGATGCAGGGTCAAAAGGGACCTTGTAGATCTTCTAGTCCGATCCCCTGCCTGGGCAGGAGATAAAACTGGGCTCAAATGACCCCAGCCAGGTAAATGTCGAGCCTCCTCTTAAAGACCCCCAGGGTAGGAGCCATCACCACTTCCTTTGGAAGTTGGTTCCAGATCCTAGCCATCCTGACTGTGAAGTAGTGCCTTCTAATGTCTAGTCTAAAATGCCTGTGAATGCCTGATTGCCAAAAAGGAGGCGTACACCCAGTGGAAGGGAGGGGCTATCACCAAAGAGGACTCCTGAAACTCTTAGTCTTTGTTGATAGAATTTCTTAACAAAATATCCTGGGGAAGGGGGGGCGGGTGGACAGGGAATGAGGGGTTGGAGGTGTCATGAAGAAGAGATTCTATACAGGGAACACCTTGCATACATCCACTCCAAAGTTTTCTAAATCCCAGCTTCCCTGCTTCTGGGTCCCATTAGTTACTCCAGGAGATGTTCCCACAAGCTTTCAGGGAAGTTGCACAGGAAAAAAAATCATCTCAGGCTCTATTTGTCCCTTGTTACACATTGCACTTTGAACTGCTCAAATGAATGTTGGTGGGTGTTAAAACTAGCTTGAATTTGGAGCAGTCCCATTTTAAGCTAACAACTTTCTCTGACTGTCTCCCACCTACACAGCTATGACTTGCTACTAGAGGGCTGGCTAGCAGGAGTCTGACTAAGAGCTACAACTGTGAGTTGCCACTACAGGGCAGGGTTGTTGAGCTAGGAAAGGCTTCTATCCCTGCTCTAAGTGTGGGGATGGGGGCTGGGAAGGTGGCTGGGGGGAGTGGGAACAAGAAGCTGGGAGGTGGAGAGTTAATGGGAGGGGGTGGGTAATGAAATGGGATATGGAAAGGAAATGAGGAAAGGGGAAAGACAGTGAAATGAAGGAAGTCAGCCACTGAAGGATGAAAGGAAGAGAAGTAAAAAAGAAAAGAAAAAAATAAAGAGGAAGTAAATTAAAGAAGGTATTATGTTTTAATAAATTGCAATTTGGGATTGAGCTGAGTGTGGGGGGGTGCTGATCATGCTTCCTGGGGTGGCTGGGAGGTGGGAGCAGTGAGGGAAGGAACTTTTGGGGCAACTACTTCCCCTACTCCAGGAAGGAAGCCCCAGCTCATGGGCACCTGACCCAGCCCTCTACTTTGTTTCCCTCCCACCCTCCCAGACCCCACTCCTGAATCCAACCATGCCTTATGACCTGACCACACATTAATGGAAAGCGAGCTGGGTAACATGCCTTGGAGTAGTGGAACTTAAACTGCCTGAAGTGTGCTTAAAGGTAGTTTTTTTGTTAATGTGTGGCGAATCCAGGGGTTAAGAGCTCCAGGGGCTGCCTAAAATTATTGTGTAACAAGGCCCTTACTGTTTTATCTTGATGTTCTAGTTCCCTTTTAAGGTATTTGGTATCCTTATCATTCTCCTGTTTTTAAGTTAATCTGTTGGTTTTTTTTATTGGAAGCTTCCCTGAATCTTTGCTGGGAAAGGCAGCACCTCCCTTTATCCCCAAGCCCAGACCTACTAATTTCTGATCCTTATACAACACAGCTCTTGGACCTTATGGAAGGCCTCCATCAGAGGCTAAGGAAGTGGTGATGAGACTCCTTCCATTCAGAAGTCTAGAGATTCTTGTGTACTGTGATCTGCAGTTAGATGGCACTTCAAAAACGATCTGGCCTCATATCCTTCTCATGCTGTTCCTTTTGCTGTAGTTCATGGAACTGTATGTACATAAGTAATGGCTACATGATTAAACCCTTTGTTTATGAATAAGAAAGTGAACAAATACAGATAAAGTATACAGTATTACAAATGCATTTGTGAATTATATTGTAAAACACATTAAGCAACAAACAATTTTTGTTTTTATTTATAATCTATATCCAACTTACATATTGATTTCATATTAAATGTTTTTAAGGAAGTTGTGAAGTACAATTTGAGTTTTAAATAATTTTATAATCTTAAAAAGTATAAAATAATAACTAAACTGATAATTTTCTCACAGTTGGTAGTTGGAAAAACCTTACTGCAGCAGCATGCCACTAATTATTTACTAAGAACTGGGACAAGACTGAATATTTTTGTGTAAATTATTGATTTTCTTATTTGGAAAATAGAAATGGAGTTCTTGCTGCCAACATAATAAATAATAAGAGACTTTTACTGTTCAGAAGTAGGAAAACAAATTAAGAATTAGTTTGTTAGGAGGAGTTTCAGTAATTACACTGCTTTATCTTTCTTATAAGTTTTCTAAATGACATTAAAAATATATAGATATCCAAACAAAGAGACAGCAAACACTTTAAGTGAATGACTATAATATTGTTAAGTTCCGTAGGAGCTACTATTTTAGGAATTATCAACAAAGTAAGGTAAAATACTAGTTTAAAATGGGAAACAAGAAGAGTAAATTTGACATGTGTCAAGCTTTAGAATATTGTTAGGGGGTTTTTCAATTAGAACAAAATAACTGGGATAATTTAATCAATCAAACATTTTGACAAACTTTTCCCCTTTTGTGGTAATGAGTGGGGATAATGCTAACATTTTGTTCCATAAATGCTAGATAGTTGATTCAAGAATAATAAGAATGTATAACGAAATGCAATTATAATTTGCTTTTTATAATGTTTTAACAACTTGTATTGAAAAGGTGTATTTCACCATGATTATTTTCCATCTGGGAAGTTCTAGTCTCTTAACAAGATTTTCTTCAGGGATAAATACAGACAGTCATAAAGCCTGAGACTAAATTGATTTAGTCTTAGCAGGTTACTCTAAGATGCAAAGATTAAACTGAGAAACAACTGGACACTTATTTCTTTTGATTCAGGAATGCAGCCACATGTTTGCAGCAGCTCTAGCCAGAAG